TGCTGCCACAGCTCCTGGCTGGGCATGAATGTGCAGTTACAGCTTCCCCTGAAAAGCTTAATCTGTACAACTGAAATCCTAATTTACCTAATGCTTGACAGTGCAGGCAGCCAGGGACCTGGGTAATACACTCTGCCCTTTCCCCTATGACAACAGAGTTTGAAGTTGTGGAGACCTTCGGGGTATGCCCTTATCACTGGACAAAAAAAGGCTTGGAAGAAACCCCCCTGTTTTGGAGAGTGAGTCTCCCTGTTTCATTCCGAGCCTGCCTTTTTCACTGTCCACTGCTAAATCCCCAGTTATGTCATACAAGCATCTTCCAGCATGGAAAATCCATGAGGTGTCGTTACCCAGAGAAACGCTGCTCCAGTGGTACCAGATATTGCTGATTCGATGATCCTCAGCCTAGGCTGGGTTCAGCTGGCAGTCCAGGGCTGCGAGCAGCTTTGCCCTCCACACACCAGCTGGTCCTGGGCGAGCAGCTCCGTGTCAGAGCTCCGTGTGGCACAGATGGCTGCCCTGAACTCAGCCCCGATTCCCCCTGGACCTGCTCTTCCCTGGGCTCAGCTCAGAGCAGGGCACCCTCCTGGTGCACGTGGGGGAGGCAGGGGCTGCCTGGCTTGGTGACAGAGCCCCTGGGCTCCTGCAGTGAGCCCAGCGTGGCACAAGCCCAGCACAGCATGCAGTGAGCCCAAGGCAGCTTTAGAGAGCCCAGGGCAGCATGGAGCAAGCCCAGCATGGCACACAGCTAGCCCAGCATGGCACACAGCCAGCCCAGCATGGCACACAGCTAGCCCAGCATGGCACACAGCTAGCCCAGCATGGCACACAGCCAGCCCAGCATGGCACGAGCCCAGCATAGCCACGGCAAGCCCAGCGTGCCCACCGTTTGCCCCCCATGCCCGGGGGTGGCCCAGGGTACCTGCAAGCAGCCCTGGGTACCTGCAGGATGCCCAGTGTGCTCACAGCATGCCCAGGGGTCCCCCAGGGTGCCCGCAGCAAGCCCAGAGTGACTCCAGCTAGCCCAGGGTCTCTGCAGCAAGCCCAGAGTGCCCGCAGGTAGCCCAGGGTGCCCACAGGTGGCCCGGGGTGCCCACAGGTGGCCCGGGGTCTCTGCAGTTGGCCCAGAGTGCCCGCAGGTAGCCCAGGGACTCTGTAGCTGGCCCAGGGTGCCCGCAGGTAGCCCAGGGTCTCTGTAGCTGGCCCAGGGCGCCCATAGCTGGCCCAGGGTGCCCGCAGGTGGCCCAGGTTGCCCATAGCTGGCCCAGGGTGCCCATAGCTGGCCCAGGGTCTCTGTAGCTGGCCCAGGGTGCCCAGAGCTGGCCTAGGGTGCCCGCAGGTGGTCCAGGTTGCCCATAGCTGGCCCAGGTTGCCCGCAGGTGGCCCAGGTTGCCCATAGCTGGCCCAGGGTGCCCGCAGGTGGCCCAGGTTGCCCATAGCTGGCCCAGGTTGCCCGCAGGTGGCCCAGGGTGCCCATAGCTGGCCCAGGGTGCCCATAGCTGGCCCAGGGTGCCCGCAGGTGGCCCAGGGTGCCCATAGCTAGCCCAGGGTGCCCATAGCTGGCCCAGGGTGCCCGGAGGTGGCCCAGGTTGCCCGCAGGTGGCCCAGGTTGCCCATAGCTGGCCCAGGTTGCCCGCAGGTGGCCCAGGTTGCCCATAGCTGGCCCAGGGTACCCATAGCTGGCCCAGGTTGCCCGCAGGTGGCCCCGCCGGCCGCCCCAGCAGCCCCGGCCGCTCGGTGTGGCGGTGGCGGCCGGCGGGGGAGGGCAGAGCCGCAGCCACTCCCAGGAACAGTAGTGAAATCGCCCCGACACTTTAACTGTCAATCAGGATTAATGGGGTATAAAACCTCCCCAGCGCCGCGGCCCTGAGCGGCAGAGACGGCAATAGGCAGGAATGAGTGAGAGCCGGAGCTGAAGTAGTGCACGGCGTAATTCCTGCTCTGTGATCAGACACTCCAAGGGAAAAAAAACCGGGAGAGGGGGCAGAGAGAGGCAGTGACCAGCTCAACCTCTGCAACCGGCTCAGGACAGAACGTCTATAGATATTTATAGATACTAAAACAAAAACAACCTCTCCCTGAATTGAGCCTTTCTTAAAAAGAAGGTCCTGGCAATTCTGTCTTATTTAAGCAATTTCCTGAGTCTAAGAATAGAAATGAGCTGCCTGGAAGGCACTGCAGGCTGAAATTTGGAGGCACAGGCTGCTTTATTTTATTTTTCTAAATATAAAAACCTTTCGTTTGGATACTGGATTTTTATGTGGGTCTTTGCAGCGGAGGGATGTATGGTTACTTTTAATTCTACTTTTTTTTTTTCCTCTCTTTTAATTAACAAAAAGCTTTCCAGTTAAAAAGCAAGGAAGCTGATTTACCTGCGTGTGACAATCCCAGAGGACACCGATCAAGAAACGGTGGAGTGACTTGGTCTTCTGCACTACTTTACTCCTACCCCCATTTTTTTTTTTTTTAGGGGGAGAGAAGAATTTTACCAGTCCAAGAACCTCTTGCCCCCAAGTTTTGGAAGGGGGTTGAAGACTTGTCACCCATCCGGGGGTGCATGAAGGGTGTTGTTTTTCTTTCTCTGTCACCTTGGTTTCGTGGAGGTTTGGAAGAGAACTTTGCCTGGGAGAAGAGGATGATGTGGAAGTGGCTGGGCGCGCTGCTGCTGTTCCCGGTGCAGATGCTGTACCTGGTGGTGAAAGCTGCCGTGTGCCTGGTGCTGCCGCCCAGGCTGCGAGACCTGTCCCGGGACAACGTGCTGGTCACCGGCGGGGGCCGCGGCATCGGCCGGCACCTGGCCCGGGAATTCGCCAGGAGAGGAGCCAGGAAGGTGAGCGGGGAGGGGAGGGGCAGCGCCCACCTGCTGCTCTGCCGGGGAGCCCTGTTCCCCCAGCTCTAGGTGGGCTCGGTTGCTGGGATCCCTTGGGAAAGGTGAGAGAGGCTCTCGTTGTGCAGGACTGAGCCATTACATCAGTTGCGTTTCAGAGTTGCCCACTCCTCCTTCCCTGCATCCTGCCTTTGCCCATCCCATCCGGGAAAACGTGATCGTGAGCAAAGGGCCCCCTCGTGAATCCCCCTCTGCTGACAAAGGAGAGGTTTCTGCCTCAGCCCAGGTTTCCTTTGGCAGGGGAAGGAGAGCTGAGCAATTCCTATGCATGGAGCCAGCGCTCACTTCCATCGCTGTTTCCTGGGCTGCTTCCTGGCATTGCTGGGCGTGGGGATCATGGACAGTGAGCCCTCATCCATCAGGATCATGTCCAGATGGATCACCCCAGAGGAGAGGGGCAGGTGGCTCTGGGACAGTGGGGAGAAGTGTTCCCTTTCACCCTGGTGGGTTTCCATTTGTGAAATTAATTTCTTGTGCTTCCTGAAGTCTCTTGTATTTTACTTTTGGACAACCCAGAGCTGTTCAAAGGGAAGATGAATGAGAACCTGGCAAGAAGAGCACAGCTTGAGTGGAAGCTGTGGGATTATTTGCACATTTCCTTTAGGAGAGAGGCTGAGAGTGGCTGGTCTGCACAGCAGCCCAGAAGTGCCAGTGCAGCTGGTGGGTCCATTCTCTTGCTCAGGAACTGGTGGTTTACCTTGAAACCTTGTGGTTTTTTAAGTACAGGTATGTCCCTGTGTGTGAATCAGTCAGGGATACAGAAACACACATCCCTGAAATGAGGCTTGGGATGGAAAGTTTCATCTCCCCTTTTATTGGTAATTAAGGGGGGGGCTGGTGAAATTAGACAGCTGCGCAAATACTTCTCTGTGTGAGAGGATGAATGAGAGTAAATAGAGAAGAAAGAAGAGGAAAAATACAGAATGAGAGGCTATTTAAAGAAAAAAAAATTGGATTTAGTTCAGGATAGTGTTTTGTCACTTCCTTACACATGCATTACAGTTTTCTCTGTGTGGTACAGAGCTATTCTGGCATGTAACTCTGAGGTGTAAAATATGTCAGCATTGAACTTTAATGTTTGTCTGTGTTTGTGTTTAAACATCATGTTGAGATTTACACATTCTGGGAGTCAGAGCAAACAAGTTGACTGACCTTTGGACCCAAGAAATTTGCTGAAAGTGTATTTATATTATCTGTTGGAATACCACGCCTCATTATTTATTTATTTAGAGTGGCTGGTTGCTATGCTGAGCTCTGGCATTAAAGTGCTACCATTTCTACAGCACATTTAAGAGCTGTTTTGCTGCAGTTGAGCTGGGAGCTGAACAATGGCCCTGAGGAACCAGGGGACGGGGCCAAAAGGAGACAGGGCTGTTTGAGAGAGAGCTGAAGATGGGATTACTGTAAACAGACACACACTGTATTCTATCTGTATGTCCTCTCTACAACAACTCTATGTATTGTACAAGGAAAAAATACCTAAGAGTGGTTATTGGGAGCCTTTGTACTCATATGATGTTCTGAAATGCTCTGTGTTGTTAGCTATTAGTTAGAACTTTGGAGTGTTTTGGCTTTTGGGATGTTTTCATGTGTGTCACCAAGGTATTTAAGTTATTTGCGTTGACTCAATTTGAATTAGATCTTTCTTTTCAGTTAAATCATGGTGTCCAGTCAGTCCTATATGGCACTCAGCAAGTTCTGATCCCCTGGTAGTGGCACTACCTGTCAGCCTGTGGTGAGAACACCAAAGTTGGCTTATTCTCCTTAGCAGTTTTAATGCAAATTTTACCTACATATGGTAGTTTCCATTCCCTTTGCTATGAGATTTCATTTCTTTCCTGCGTCTGTGCTCAACTCTAAATTTGTGGGTTTTATGCAGTCCTCAACCTTCTGCTTGGCACTCCTCTTCAATTTTACGCTTTGCCTTTGACAATCAAAAAGAAATGAAAAAGGCTTGCAGTGTCTAGCAAGCCATCTTTTGATAAGACTTGTGAAAACTGACTGTTTTTCTCGTTTTACACTGTTAACTATCTTAATATGCAAAGCTTGAATTATTGATCAAAATAAATAACTTAGATTCCGATTGTCAGATGGTGTAGTCACCATATTCCAGCAAAGGTGTGGAATTCTGGGGCCAAGCCCAGCAGGCCATGGAGGTGGTTGGTGGCAGTGCCATGGGTTCAGGTTGTGCTGGAGGGTGTGCAGTGTGTCCTGACCAGGGTTCAGGTTGTGCTGGAGGGTGTGCAGTGTGTCCTGACCAAGGGCTCCCAGTGCTTGCACACAGACATAGTGGCGGGCTTTTGGAGGTAGGCGGCGATATATAACCATATTTTTGAGATTAGAATCTTCAGAAAGATAAGTTAGTTGGGACTGTGAGGATATGAAACTCCTCTGGTAATTAGACTGGATGGGATTTCATCTTACAGTCCGTTTCAGAGACTGGTTTTGTTGCTCACAAGTGAGATGTAGCGGAGCCATTTGCAAGCAAGGTAGCAAATGTATTTCACAAGATTATGAATTGTCACATCTGCAACTCCTCTACTGTAAAATTTGATCTTGCATTTAAAGCTATGAAGATGACAAGAAATAAATCCCAAAAGCGCTTATGCAAATGGAAATGTCTTGTGCTTGATTGATGAGCATGGAGACTAAAATTCTCAGTCTAATGGAATGGAAGTGTCTTGGGCATGCTTTGTAAATCTATCCTGATTCCCATTCTTTACCCCCATTGCATTGCCATTGTGCCTCAAATGTGACTTAGGTGGATAAATGTCTAGGAGACATTTCCTTCTCAAGTGATGTTTCTTCTCTCACAGTTGTTCCTTGGCCTCTCTGAAGAAATGGTCAATAAGGGCACAAAGCAGTGCCAGTTCAATTTGCAGTTTCACAAGTGTATGTTCTGGTTTTTTCAATTAAGACTGCCAGCAATTTTTAGACAATGAGAGACTTTAACCATCAGATCATTGCTGTTCAGGTGTACACTGAGAGGTCAGAGGATCCATACTCCATTTGTAATTTCAAGTAGTTGTCAAGAACTACTTGGTCCTGGGAGGTACTGTGTATTGAAATGCTTCCTGGAGCACTTCTGGAAAAGCCAAGAGCATGTAAATGAGCTGTATGCAGGGATGAAGTGGTTACAGATGATCCAGGACATGTTAGTGTTATTATGAGGGATGAACAGCACTGACTTTTCTCCGGAAGCGCTCAAGTGTTGTAATCCAACTTCCCAGAGATGTGTCCAGATTCATAAGTGCTGCCTGAGAAGCTACTTTGCTGTGGCTGAATTGCTGAAGAAAGTAACTTTCTGCTTTCTTGGCTGCTTGCAGAATTCAAAATGCTCACTGTTGCTTGCTTTAACTCTTGAGAATTTGACTGTACCTTAAAAGTATTTGGTCAGTGAAGCATCACCCCTGCCTCAGTCTCACATGCTGGTAGCTCTGTCAAGGCTCCTAGCTGTTGATACTTTAGTGAGCCAAAATGGCAGAGAATGTCTGTGTTAATGAAATGGGAGAAGGAGAGACTTTTATGAGTTTATGATTTAATGCCTATGAAATAAAAATCCACTTCCAAAGCCTAATGGTGTTTTGCAAAGACTGTACTGTATAATCCGGTTAATATTGGGAAGACTGGCCCCTTTGAACAGTATTTCTTGTGTTGGAGACCAGCCCTCTGCAGATGTGAGCAGTCAGGGAGTGCAGGGGCTGAATGGGTTCATTCACTGCTCAGTAGAGTGGGAAACTGTGCCTGTTTTCCTCAAAGCCATTTGCTTTTCCTACAGAAGTTTCATTATAGTGCCTTTGCCAGAAAGTTGTCAGCCCTGGTTTTGATGGTCTCTAGTGAAGAAGTTTTGATGCCTATGTCTTTTGTATGTCTTGCTCTTTGTTAGTTTCTTTTTCTTTTTTTTTTTTTTTTAAGAAAACCTTGATCTGTAAAAATTTTCCTCGTCACTTTAATTTACTTTGTTCAAAGATTACCTGATTTGAGGTGTGATTGAACAGCAAAGGTTCTTAGGCATTCTGCATTGATAAATGTCAACAAAACCTAATAAAAGTAACTGCAGAAGATATTAATGATAGGACAGAAACAGATTCCCCAACTCTAGTATGTAACTGAGTATTCTTATCTGTCAGATTGTTTATCTGACAGTGGCTTTGGTAGAGTTTCTTGGGCCTTTCCAGAAAAACCCAACAACCCTGAAATCTCAGCTGTTCTTTCCATTGGTATTTTCACAGCATTTTTCCAAGTCAGGCCTCAGTGTCTGAGTTTTGGAAGATTTCTTGTTGTTTGGCTGTGCTGTCCTCCTTCAGTTCAATGCCAGTTGGGATGGATGAGAGCTGTGCAAGCCTACCCTGCTGCTGGAACCTGGAGCTTCCCTCAGTGCTTCACTTGCTCCAACAGAACTGAAAATTTCAGAGTAATTGCAAGTGCTTGAGAGCCTTGTATAACTGGAGAGGTTTAGCCGTGTGAGATTTGGGGCTATTTTGTGTTTAGGCTGAGAGTACTGGAGAGAGGTTATGTAAAAAATACAGTATCGGGTCTTAGAATTTAGCCTTGTATTCCCAGTAATGGAAAATTTGGCAAGTTTTGAGATGAGTTTATCAATGGCACACTCCTCCCACACAAATTGCATCTGTAGGTCTATGAATATTTCACTTTGGTCTCTATGAATCACGTTGACATATTATTTCACAGATTTCACTGAATACTCTGAGTTGGAAGGGACCCCAAAGGATCATCGAGTCCAGCTCTAAAGTGAATGGCCCATATATTATTGACCTGATTTGTATGAGTTAGTATATACCTTCTAAAAGCTGCTTTAAAACACATACCAATGCCATGTGATAGAGGATTAACTGCACTGTGACTAGAGCTGGATATTAAATTCATACTGATCTCCTGAAGAAAGCCACTGCTGCTGTTTCAGAGCTGTGCCTTTTTTTGAGATGCAGGACAAAAGCTATGAGTGTCTCCCTTGGATTCAGTAGAGAGTTCTTATTCCAAAATATCTTAAAATATCGGTCACTCTCAAACATTCATCTCTGGCTGCACTTTCAGAGCCTGTAGAAGAGTCTTGCTAAACTGCATTGGAGAGGATCTCTTGCCTGGCATCAAATTCCTGGTGTGTGGCAATGGGAATATGCCCCAGACTTCATCCAGATGGGCTGGAGCATTCCAAACCTGGAAATCTTTCTTTTGTAATGTACAAAGGTGAATAATTCCTGACCATGTGCTGGGGGAGTGGGAAGGGATGGGAAGTTTTGAGAGCCCTGCAGGAACCTTAGCAAGCCCTTCTGCTTCTGTTAGCTTTAAAATCCACTGTGCTGGGCCAGTTGTCAAGGAGACACTTTTGTTCTGCAAGTAATAACTGATTTCTGACACAATCATTCCTTCTCAGTTCAGAACATGACTAGACCTGATCTGGCCACCCCAGAGAACATTAGTCCTGATAGAAGGAAAAGAGCTGGTTTAAAATTACATGCTTACAGAGCTGAGAGGACCTGAGAGAATCTGATTAATCACCATGTACTTATTTTTAACAGGCATCATGACCTAGCATAATGAAATCAGAAAGCCTTTAAAATTAGGTTTATAAAAGACATGAACACAGTTCTCATGTACATTACCCAGTGCAATATGCCAGTGTGGTGCACTGCATTTAAGGTTGCCTGGTTTTAAAAGACTCAGTGTAAAAAGAAATATATATATATATTTAGATTTCAGTGCTAAGAAACTGTTGCCAGGTGAGCATCTGTCCCCATTCTGAATGCTTTTCCTGCCCTGTGGTGGTACCACAATGACATACAGCCCATGTGTCTAATGGATTTCTGTGCAGTCATTTTGAAATGCAAACAAGTAAGTGACCATTTGGAAAAGGCAATCTGACATCGTGTGAAAAGGATAATGTAATCTAAAAGGAAAGTGCACATTTTCTATGCTTCAGATATTTTAGTGTAATGAGAATATTTACCTGGAGTGCAAATACGAGGTTGTAAGTGATAAATCTCTGCTGTTGTGTGTGTGGTTGGAAAGAAACCACCATAGGAATGCAGCAGCTTCAGGGATATGTTAAATGATGGTTACTTTAATCTTCCTTAAATTTAAGCACTTAATCTTACAGTGAACTATTAGAGCATGTCACAACTTATCAGCAACCAGAAGTACATGAGAAGAGCTGGGGAGTGAATGTTTTTCCATGTCATGCAAAATAATCCATTAATGTGAAACACTTGGTAAACTATGAGAGCATAGATGTGATTGGGTGCCTTTATGGTCTCCAGAAAGGCTTTATTTCTCCAAAGATTACATCCTGACAGCAGCTTTATTTAATGGCTTCCTGTTGGCAGCTCCCTACTTTGTTGATTGGATTTGAGGATGGGCAGAAGAGCCCTTGTTTGGAGTCCCAGGCTGTGATGGCATGAAGCCTGTGCTGGCTGCTGGTGCCAAGGCCAGCAGTTGGAATAACATGCTGAATAAGTGGCTTTGCCTGGCAGGCACCACCAGAATTTATCAGCTCTCAGATCTTTGGTGTCTGTGAAGCAGCTTGGGCTGGAGCTGTTTTAACTTATAATTTGGAACATACCTGTCTTTTGTTGGTGGGTATGTTGTAAGGAGAATAAATAATGTTAACAAGAAGTGGAACTTGCAGAGTTACAGTCTTGTCATCTCCCATCAAGTTACAGTGATGTCATGAGAAAATATTGTCCCAATGAGACCATGCTGTGTTGGCACACCAAGATCCAGCACTTTTTAACATGCTGAAGGTCTGGCATCAAGGCAGTTAAATGAGGCTTCCCACTAAACACAAGGACTGTGCCAATGCTGTAAAAAATCTTCAAGTTTTAAAGATGAGGTTATATATTAATGTCATTGCAGTGCCTCAAAAACTGACTTCACACCAAAAACTGTTTAGCATAAAGATGCTAAATGTGCTCTAGAAGAACAACAGCAAAAGATGATGCTGGCCTCAGGGTTGGCAGGGATAAAATAAATAAATGTGACAGTGGAGATAAAAACCAAAAGGCGACAATGAGTACTAACACAGAACTCTCTGCTGATTAAAGCCAGACTGCAGCACCACTTGTTGAGCCAGTTTAAGGGAAGGCATCACAGTAATGGAAGTTTAAAGTTGGGGCTTGAAAAGCAGCAGCTAAGAGCTTTGAAGAATGCTTAGAGAGGTGCAGGAAGTGTGGTAGAAAACAGACAGGTTGTTTTCAAAAACTAATGCTGGGAGGTAAAGGCTCAGTAGAAGACCTGATGCTCAATGAAAGGTGAGTATGGGTAAAGTGAAAGTGAATACCTTGAAAGTGAAAACAGAGGCTCAGATTTGGCAAGCTGGAGGAGGCAGTGAGGTTCAAAACGAGCTGACCTGGTCAAAGCAGTAGATTGAGGTGTTTGATCCTGAGCAGGGGGTTGGGCTAGAGGACACCCAGAGGTCCAGAGCCTCAACCATAGTCTGATCCCACGGTTCTCAGTCTTATTTGTACCACAGGAAGGAAAAAGGTGGATTTTGTGAACTTCAGGGCTGACAGGAAGGTTTTGGGCTATGATGTTTCATGCCACTTAACTGAAGTGATTCATCCGTATTTTATTTGCATCGTTTCATCACCTACAGTGACTTGTAAAAGTGCTGCTGTGTATTTATGTTGCATTTATGTCATGGCTCTGGCACAGGCTAGGAACAAGTCTCAGATTTGTAGAACTGTTTCCATCTGAAGCACTGTAGGTAGTTTTTACTGCATTATAAAAGAATCAAACATGCTGTTGAGCTAATGCCTAATTTAATTAGCCAGGCACAGCAATTTGCTTTAAGAGTGACCATAATCCATGCACAGTCCTAAGCATTTGACTAAAACATTTTAAAGGAATCAAAGATTTTATTATTCTTAAGGCTGCTGTGGAAACCTGCTTCATTAGAATGATACAATGCAGTGAGCAGTAAAATTACAAAGGAGGAACTTAGAAAACTCTGGCTAGACTCTGAATTCCATTTCTCAAAGAGATCAGCAGCATTCAAAGTTGGCATATCAAGAACTATTGAGTTTTACATCAAACTGCCAGAGCAAAGACCAGGAACTTGGCCTGACAGTAACCTGAGAGGAATGAAAGTATTAAGGCAATTTAAAAAAAAAAAAAAAGACAAATAGATGATAATGATGAAGTTCACAGAAGCAGCCAATTAATTCTACAAGAGTGATGGGGAGAAGGAAAAAAGGTAACAGTTCTCTGTCTCTTCCCATAACATTGGACAAGGGTCTAGAAATTCAGTATCTTTCCTTCTGGGCAGTTTGGAAATGTCAGCTAATGATTATTGAGTATTTGAGTTTCAGTATTGAGGATAAGTTTGAGTGTTTGTTTTCAAATCCACTAACAAATGCTAGTCAGTGTTTAGTGTTCACTTTCACTTTGATCCCTGTCCCAAATTGAAGACACAAATCTAACACAATTGCTGCTTCAAGGTTTTGTGCAGGAAGGAGGGACTGAAAAGAAAATCTCTTCAAGACAGAGAACAACAGCCTCAGAGCTGACCACCGGGAGAGAACGAGCTCTGGCATTTTTAAACCCGTGCTTATCAGGAATATAAAGCAGAAATTATTAGAGATTTTTTTAGCTGGGCCCAGACTCTGTTCTTCAAAGCATGCTGTCAACATCCTGAAGAGTCAAACAAGTCAGACCCAGGCACTGCCAGATCCATTGGCTGATAACACTGACGCCAGGAGAAAAGGGTCAAATACATGTTGTTTGACCTTTATCCCAGTGGGGATTAAATTGATTCTAATTAATAGACTTGGGAATAGATGGGTACCTTGGCAGAGTTTGTAATTAATTTAAATTGTTCATCCCATTAGCTTAGCCATAAACTATGCATAATTACAATGGGATTTTGTGGACAGCCACCCTTATGTTGCCACCTTCTTAATTACAATTTATTGACTGCAATGCTGCAGAGCTTATTTGTTTTGGTTAACATAGGGATTTCTGTTGTCTTACACTGCCTGAGCAAATGTGTCAGTGCTCCATTTATGGCAATAAAATCATGTTTGAAAGCACAAATGCAGC